CAATCATTCAATAAATAACACCGTTATCCCCGTCCATCCCAAACAATAATCAACTCTCCAAATAAATAAGATAATCCGGTTGACAAGAAAAAGGCTGAAGGCTCAAACGGACTACTAGTGAAAAATATTTTTATGGACAAAGAACAAGGCTTCTTGCTATACAAACGATCTTGTTTCTCAGTTAGCTGACCTCCAGCAATTTTTTACGAGCTAATTCAGAAACCGCCTAAATCATTTTTAAAGCTCTCAACCATCAATGCATTTTTTTCAAGTAAGAATCAAGGCAAATTCAAATAACTCGGGTATTCAATTGACACACACAGACAAAGAATAAAAGCTCAAGTCTCACTAGGCTCAATATATCGCTGATTCAAGGTTCACAAGCATTTTCATCTAGGCATAACAAATTATAACCCCATCACAATTTCTCAATCACATCAAATCACCATCACCATTCAAGTTTTATCCACCATTCAGCCAAAGCAGAAGAAATACACAAAGAACCGACTCAAGCAAATTATTTGTAACGCTCCGTTTATTGGAGAATTATTTATTATTTTTATAATTGCTTATTATTGATAATATTACTTTTATTATTATTATTATTATTATTATTATTATTATTATTAATATTTTGTGTCTACTTGCCTATTTGTCTTAAATTTCTGTTAAATGTATAAATATTATTAATTGTCTTATTATTATTGTTATTAATTTTTTGTTAATTGTTTAATTGCTATTTATTGCCTAATTGTTATTAATTGTCAATTATTAATAAATGATTATTTGTGTGTATTATGTATATATATTATCCGGTAATTGGTCTGCATTTTTCCGTTTAAACTTATTATTATTTAATTAGATGTCGTTTAATTAATATAATAAGTCGTATAATTCTATTTATTATTCGTCGTCAATTGAATCGATCGGAGATTCTCGTTATTGCGTTGTAATTTTTCGAGCCCAAGTCAATTGGAAGTTTAATAACCAGCCCAAAAAGTTGTGTGCATTCGGCCCACTTTGAATTCTTTTTCTCGCCTAAATAACCGATCGAAAAGAAACCTTTATTCTCTTCTCTTAGGTTTATCGCGCACACATCAATCTGCTTCTCCCTCTCGCGATCCTTTCTCCCGTCACCATAGTCATCGCCATCATCGACCCTCATCATCACCTCAGATCACCATCATCCTCGCAAGTCAATCGCCGGCCATCAGAATCTGCCATCGCCAATCATCTTCCTCGCGAACTGCAGCCCCGCCGCCGCTCCCTCTCCGTGCAGGCCATCAACCGGCAACTACCCCCGGGTGCCGCTGCACGTCGTCTTCCTTCGGCAATTTCCCGTTCGTGTGATCAGTTCCAGGTCGCCGCTGACTCTCGCCATCATCACCTTAGTCTGCCACGAACAGGAGCGAAATTCCGGCAACCTTCAAGCCATGTCCCGGCGAGTTGTGAACCAGTCTGGCGAGACCCGGCACTTCCCGACAAATTCCTCAGTCGCACACCCTCCTCGCGAGCAACGTTGTCCCGACGAGCGTTCATCCCGGTGCTGTTAAACGGTTCCGTGATCGCGAGTGTATTGTCCCGGGCCCTTATTGTTCAGGCTGCTGCGGCACCTTCATTCCGACGAGACGCGAGAATCCGTCGAGCCCGACAACCCCGTTCGTGTCCTACGTCCCGTTCCTTCGAGTTTTTTTCCGAGAACGGTACCTAGTCGGACCTCGTCTCGTTATATCGTATATATTGGTTGCCTTACTTGTTTATTAGATGCGTTTAACATGTTCTATGAATTAATACATGTATGCTCTATGATGCTATGTGTACGTCTGAATTTATATGGTTATCGTGTGTAGTGGGTCCTTTTGATTTCATGAAATCGAATGAGATTCTCGTTAAACTCGTGTTAAGTTGCTGAAGGAGTTGGAACAACGTGTTCTTGGTCTTAAGTGAAGGCCTCGGAACAAATTCGAGTCTTTTTGAGTCGTGCTTGATTTAATTATCTCGTATGCTCGCTGTTTTGGTGTTCGAATTTTTAAAAATTATATGATGATCCGGTTGCTGTGAAATTTGTAGTGTATTTTCCTCTGGTAATTATATAGCTCGTGTAAAAATGTAAAATGTTTCGGAGGTCTGTAGCTATTTTTAAAAATTATAGTGATTTTTTGTCAGATTCATGTATAATTCATAATAAATTGTGTAGTGCTCCAAAATTTATGAGATATTAATATGTCGCCAATCTTCCTGATTTGGTTGTTGTGTAAAAGTTTTAGAATTTTTGGATTGATATTGATAGGGTAAATAATTTGTTTACAGTTTCTGCTGAATAGTGTGTTAATTTTGATATATTGGTCAGTTGCTGGACAATTCTAAATTTTGGCTGATATGCTTGTTTTATGTGAAAATTCATGCTGTTAAAATATTAGAATTTTTAGAGTTCAAAATATTTCGGTTTTATTTAAAATGCGAAAAATGCTAGATGTTGTAGCAATTTTATTAATTCGCATGTTAAGTGTTAAAGGCTGAGATTTGTAGACAATGCTATTCACATGCTGCGGTTCCTTGTATAAAACCTTCAGAGTGTGAATCATTCTTTTGGTCTGGTGGTTAATTTATGCTCTTTTTTGCTATAAATTTGCTCAAATTTTATAAAATAGCATACTTTGATTTTGGAGCTGAAAATTTGGGGTTATGCTAAGTTCTCGGAAGTGAAATTTTGGTTAAAATTTCAGAGCCTAACTCTTTGGATAACCTGATCAACTTGTTTTTGGTAATTTAAAACTAGTATTTGCAATTATATAGTCTTGTCAATAAAACTGTGATTCGACTCGCTTTCTGTTTCTTTATGTGTTTGACTTGGTAAATCTTTTATTGAGATTATGTGAACTTCCATGTGTATTTGGTTGAGTCTTATTTTCGAGTCTTAGTTTTTCAACGTCCACAGGACTTCACGAACAACTTAGTCGAATCAAGTTCGACTAAGTATGATTTGTGTTTTCCGTTTAAGTCAAGATAAATGTTTATTGTAGGATCTTGACTTAATGTAGGTGCTTGAGGAGTCAAGCCTCAACCTACGCCTCATCTATTTTGTTGTTATCAATCCAGAATCCAGGTGGGTTTACTTATAAAATTGTCTAAGCCATACGTGTTGTTTATTGTTTAGTTGGTATGACCAATGTATGAATATGAACCATGTGGCCTACCGATGTGAGCTGTTACGGCCGTCGGTACGGTTGCCCCCGTCGAGTTACGGTACGGTTGCCCTTGCGAGGCAAGTCTCCTTAAGACCTAATGAAAGGCCGTGTCCGTTACAGTGGCACGCACTCCCATCGTTAGGGTTTATGCATCTCCTTTCCGCGGCTAATGATAGATGTGCACATGAGTGAGTTATTGTTGTGATTGTTAGAAGATGAGACATGATAATGATTGATTTATATTCATGCTGCGACCATACCATCTTTACATTTTATTATGTGCATAGTAGTGAGCACTACTTTATCATTTGTGCTCATTTCCACCTGCTCTTCAGGATGCAGGTTAAGCAGTGGCTGGGTGACAGGACAAAGAACGATTGGTGGTCTATTTATTGTTTTGTTTTATTTCCACTTTAATAGTATGGTTGTTGTGAACCTTTCTATGTTTTGGACATGTGAAAACTGTTTTCGAACTATGTTATGTTTTGATATTTGGGAATATTTTTGGAAAACCCTTTTTGAACCTTGAATAATCATGGTGTTCGATTTATGAGTTTTCAATTGTTCATATTGGATATATGTTGAGGTGTGGATTGGGTTAATGAAAACCTTGTGAAAATTGGGTTTATGAATCCACGTGGGTCCAGATAAGACTTGGACTAAGTAAAATGTGTTGGTTAATGCCCTTGATTTCAAAAATGAATTCGAAAAATTTGTTCTGATTTTTAGAAAGTCTGGAATTTCTTTAAAATCAAAGTGGGGTGTTACAGTTTGGTATCAGAGCCAGTCTGCGTTTCTGTAGACTGGTATATATGTTAATAACTTGTTTATGTGATTTAGACCGTGTGTTGACCACTCGTCTTCGTCACGCCGCACTGCTTAAGGTATGTTTTATATAAGTATCAATGAAAATACTTATAATGTGAATTGTGATTTTGCACGAGTAGCAATGAAACTACTTGTGATGTTTTGCACGAGTAGCAATGAAACTACTTGTGATGTTTTGTATGAGCAGCAATGAGACTACTTATGAAGTGATATATATGTGTTGTTTTGGGGCTTAGGAAATCTATCCACCTTAGGTTATGTGAACTCTAGTGTTTAACCTTGAACTTTAGTAATATGGAGTTAAGTTAGGACTCTAGGGGTTTCTCGTTGTGAGTTTCAACATGTTGTTTTCGAGTTAAGTTCTGCCCATAGCAGTTTCCCTTAATATATAATTTTATTCAATGTCTCTGGGTGAGGACACAGTCAATGAGGACCGGGAAGGTATTTGTTTTTCTTTGGACCTTTGCCGGGTTTCAAAAATTATGAGATGAGTTGGGGTTTTATTGTCTCTTATGTCTTAGTAAGGGGTGAATTCATGTCTTAAAATAATTGAGGTTTAAGTGTGAGTTGATTTGTATGCGGTTATCGCAATTTTTGGATGATCCTCCTAAATTTTATATCTGTGTACATGAGGTATATTGTGATTATATGTAGCTCGTTGATGCTATGTTCTTGAATATATGTCTTGTGCCGAGATTTAATTGAAGAAAAAAAAAAAAGAAAACTCCATGTTTAAGCCTTACTTTATGCTCAATTTTTCGTAACCAAGAAGCTGTTTCTTGGATGAGTGTTCATCATGAATTTTGTAGTGCTTTGAGATAGGTTTCTGTGAGTTTTGGTATTTCGTGATTTAGAGTTAAATTGAACTAGTGTGTAGCCCCGTGCGATGCACGGGTAAATATTATTGAATAATAATTATAAATAGGTCTCGAGTTTGAGTGGTGGGAAATCATTATCCTATTTTAAAAGAGCAAAAAATATTATAAATTAAAGATGTAGGGTTAACATGTGATATAATTTACCGTCGTATATCAGTTTAGTATCAACAATATAAAATTAACTTGTGTAGAGAACATAAAGTTTGCATATTTAAAATATTAAAAACATGTAAAAGTATGTACTGGTTTATGTATTATTATTAAAAGATGTGAAGTCACCTACAATTCTTTTAAACTATTTTGAAAAGAAAACATGTTTAACAACATTTGAAATTTACATTTGTATGAAAGATGTTTTCTAAACTCGGTTGTAAATAAAACATGTTTAAAAATATTTAAATTTAATATGTATATATATATATATGTATATGTATATAGATATAATATGACATGATAAAATAATATATAAAAGTATCTAAAATATCATAAGTCTAAATAAATTATATAAAAAATAAATAATGACATGATATCGAGAATTATGACTGTATTTCTTATTATTTTTTTATAAGTTGT